GTCGTCGTCGCGGCCGCGCCGCGCGCGCCGCCGGTGCTTCTTGAGCTGCTCGGCGGCGTCCTTCTCCTCCTGGCGCCGCCGCGCGCGGGCCCGCGCGTTCTGCTGGCGGTGGAGCTGCATGAGCCAGAGCCGCTCCTCGCGCTCCATCTCGACCTCCTCGTGGCTCTTGGGCATCCAATTCAGCGCCTTGCGCTTGACCCACTTCATGATGGGCGTCTTCTTCTTCTGCTCCTCGCCCTGGGGCTCGACGTCGTACATGCGCTCGCCGTTGTCCGGGTCCTTGCGGACCTTCACGATGTAGCCGGGCGTCGACACCTGGTTCCCGGGGAAGCGGAACATGACGGCGTCGTCGAGGTGCATGTCCTCGAGCACGCCCTCCGTGTTCAGCTTCGGGATCTTGGGCTTGGTCCACTGGGAGAAGCCGCTCCGCGGCAGGAAGTAGAAGATCTCGCCGCAGACGGGGTCCATGTGCTCCTTCCAGACGCGGTCGTCGACGTCCGTGACGTCGCGGAGGTAGCGGGACCGGCGCCGGAGCACGGCCCAGCCCGTGCGCTCCTCCTCGAACTTCTTCACGGCCGGGGGCATCTTCCAGGTGAAGGCCACGGAGTACCAGTGGATCGGCCCCTGGACGAACCAGAACTGGCGGAACATGAGCTGGAGCCGCCGCGCGGCCGCCTCCCGCTCGACGACGACGGTGTCGCGCCAGAAGCGGCAGCCCACGCCCCGGTGCTCGTACTCCTCCCAGTCGCCGAGGTAGCGCAGGAGCCGCGCGTGGTCGTTGACGAGCACGGCCCAGTCCTCGCCCGTGAAGAGGGGCCAGTCGAGCGCCTTGGCCGCGCGCGGGTTGTAGTGCGGCCGGAACCACTCGTCGAAGTCGCGCATGACCTCGTCCTCGAACTCCTTCTTCTCGACGACGTTGAAGGACTCGAGGGCGTCCTCGGGCGCCGCGACGAGGGCGCCGTCCTCGGGCGCACCGCCGGCCGCCGCGAGCGCGTCCTCGGGCTTTTTGTCCCCGTCCTTCACGACGAGGTCCGTCGACTTCTTCTTGTCGTCGTCGGCCTGCTTCTGGCGCTCCTTGCGCGCCTTCTCCTCGGCCTCGGCCGCGCGCTTCAGCGCGCGCTCGTGGTCCTCCTTCTTCTTCTTGCGGTCCTTGAACATCTTCAGCAGCGGCCGCCGCGACTCCTTCGGCGGCTCCCACTCCGCCTCGACGCGCTTGCAGTTCCAGTAAAAGTAGGTCGCCTCGACGACCATGAGGTCCTCGCGGGCGACCTTGTAGCGCTTGCTGCCGTCCTCGAAGAGCAAGGTGAAGCGGTGCGTGCCGTCGCGGTGCGTCCACCGGTCCACGACCTTCGCGTCGATCCTGTGCCAAAACCAACCACTGGTTTGGGTGGTCCTGACCAAACTTGAGAATTCTCTAGCTCGGTCAAATCGAAGTCGATTCGGCTGATTTTTGGACGGATCGATCGCTCTCGTCGAGTTCTCGAAGCCCAGCCGAAGAAATTGTGTCAAAACATTCGAATACGCTCACATTGAAGTCGGGTTGAAGATTTGGTTTCGGCACAGCGTCGATCTTCGTCCCGATGAGCTCGTCGCGGTCCGCGAGCACGGACTTGCCCACGGTGATCTCCGCGGGCTGCGTGGGATCCACGAGGATCTGCCAGCCGTCGACGGGCTCCGTGTAGGCCGCGCGGCGGCAGAGCGCCCAGCCCTGGATCGCGCCGGCCTTGATCTGCTCCTCCGTGCGCTCGGGAAGCCGCGCGAGCACCGCAGGCGTCTCCGTGGCCAGCGCGTCGCGCCGCCGGCACTCGCCGGCCTCGGCCTTGGCCAGCGTGTTCATGCGCACGTTCGTCTTGTCCGCCTCCGCGGCCTCGAGCTCGCGCATCAAATCGCAGCCGACGTCCGGGCACATGCACGCGACGCGCGACGTCCGCAGGTACTTGATGCCCTCGTGGCCCGCGTGGCACTTCTTCGCGCAGTGGACGCAGATAATGAGGCGCACCTTCTTGCCGTTGATGCCGATGTTGTTGCACTCCTCGCACGTGTACCTGTGTGGAAATCAACCAGTGAGCTGGGACGTCGGGGCCAAACTTCAGAATTCTCTAGCTCGGTCAAATCGAAGTCGATTCGGCTGATTTTTGGACGAATCGATTGCTCTCAGCGAGTTCTCGAAGCACGGCGGAAGTGCTCGTGTCAAAACATTCGAATACGCGCACATTGAAGTCGGGTTGAAGATTTGATTTGCACACAGACGTGTACCACGGCTGCTCCGTCGCCTTGTAGTCGAAGGTGATGTTCGTGCACTGGACGTCGGCCTCGTCCTTCTCGACGGCGTCGATGGGCTTGAGCCAGCGGTAGTCGCCCAACGCCTGCTTGCAGTAGAACTCCTGGCCGTCGTGGAGCTGGTAGATCTTCCACTCGTCCGCGGAGCCCAGCGTGCCGACGGTGACCGCGTTGGACTGGAGCGCGTCCCAGGCGAGCTTCTGGGGCTTCATGGAGCTCACGCCGATGCCGCCGGCCTCGGCGACGCCGTCGCTGACGTAGAGCACGCACTCGTCGACCTGGCGCGAGTCGAGCATCACGTCCCACTCGCCGACGGACCGGAGCAGCCGCGTGTGGCGGCGCACGTGGTGGATGGCCTCCGTGACCTTCTCCTCGAAGACGAACCGGGACGGCGGCGCCCAGTCGTACTTGAGGGTCGCGTCCATGTCCTCGAGGAGCTGCTCCGCGGATTTCGCGACGCCCGATGCCTCGGCCTTGGCGGCCGCGTCCTCGTCGTCCTCGTCGCGCCACCGGTAGAAGCGGTTCTTCGTCATCGTGTCCTCGAACTCGTCGACGCCCGCGAGCGTGCGCTTGATCATGGACATGTCCTTGAGCAGCGACCACATCGCGTGGTCCATGGCCAAACCGCGCGATATCGCGTCGTCGAGCGCCTCCGCCTGGCGCCGCTTCGAGTTCGCGTCGTCGATGGCCTCGCAGGCCGCCGTGTAGTCGTCCAACAAATCGTCGCGGTGGTCGTCGATGATGTCCTCGCGGAGCCGGTGGCCCGACGGCGAGTCCGGCCGCCCGCGCGGCGCGACGACCAAGGACCGCGCGTCGCAGCCGCAGTCGTCGACCGCGTGCAGGTTCTGGACGTGGTCGTCTACTAAAACCCGGATCACCTGGAAGTGGCTGTCGCTGCGGTTCGCGAAGCAGGCCTCGTGGAGCGCCGTCCGGCCGAGCTGGTTCCGCGACTGTAAAGCGGAATATTTGAACGTGTACTTGCAGAGCTCGACGAGGTGCTGGGGGTTCATGATGCAGGGGATCCAGATCTCCGACGTGACGCCGTCAAACTTCTCCGACTTGCTGTAGCCGCCGTCGGGGTCCGGGTCCATGAGCTCGAGCACGTCGTCCGCGGCGGATTTCACGGGCGCGGTCACAAAGCGCTTGCACGCCGTCGACACCTCGGTCTCGTAGCAGTGCACGGCGACCTCGTAGAGCCAGTCCTTGCGGAAGTGGCGCCGCTCGTTCTGCCGCAGCTTCTTCTTCTGGAAGAGCGCGAAACAGTCGCTGAAGATGTTCGGCATGTCCGTCTTCATGCCCGGCGCGATGAGGCCCGCCTGGGCGGAAAAGGGTGATTCAACGTCGCTTCAACGTGAGTGTGCCGCGCGCGCGCGTTACGGAAAACACATCCACGCGTCGAGATCGTGCCGAGACATGATCGCTCGTCCAAACATCAGCCGCAACGAGCGGAGATATGAGCCTTTGAAGTTGGGCATGTCGCTCTCTTGTGCTGCCCTGAGGCCCGCGAGCACATCGCGGATATTCGTCTCCTCGACGTTGGCCAGATGGTGGACGACGGCGGGCCAGTTCGCCTTGGCCGCGAGGTGGAGCGGCGTGTCCTGGCAGTTGTCGACGGCGTGCACGTCCGCGCCGCCGGGGTCGATCAGGGCCTCGCAGACGTCGAGGTGGCCGCCCGCCGCCGCGAGGTGGAGGGGCGTGCGGCCCAGCCGGTCGACCTCGTGGACGTCGGCCTTGCGGTCCATGAGCAGGCGCACGACGCGGACGCAGCCGTGCTCCGCGGCCAATTGCAGCGGCGTCCGCGCGACGCCCGAGTGGCGCTTCTCGAAGACGAAGCTCGCGTCCTGGCCCGCGCACACGTAGATCTCCGCCTCCCACAGCAGGTCCCGCGCGCAGATCGTCCGAAAGTCCAGCACTTCCGGCCGGACGACGTCCGCGGCGCGGCCGCCGACGTTCCGCCGCAGCCGCTGCACGACGGCCGGCAGCGAGTCGACGGGCTGCTCCATGAGCGTGAACGCGGCTAAGATCACGGACCCGTCGTAGCCCCCCGAGAGGTGGAGGTCGATCCACTCCTCGAGGTCCGGCGTCAGCGTCGTCAGCTTCGTGCCCTCGTGCTTGCCCGAGATGTCGACCTCGACGCGCTGGCCGAGGCGGTTCCCGATCTCCGGGTAGCGCGGGCTCGGCACCCAGTCCCTCGGCGCGAAGGGCTCGCCAAAGGTCCGCGCGAAGGACCGCATGAGCAGCATCTTCTGCATGAACTCGGAATTCTTCGCGGGCTGGAACCCCTTCGTCACGAGCGTCTTGAGGATGTCCTCGATCTTCGCGCCCCGCCTTAAATTCCGCCGGCACCACTCCATCCACTCGTCGGGGATCGTGCCCGGCGGGAACTTGATGCCCGGCATCGTCGCGCGGAGCTTCGTCAGCGCGGCTTTGGCCGCGTTCTGCTTCGCGTCGCGCGTCGTCTTGCCGATGCCCTGGAAGCGCCGGTCCCCGTAGGACTCGGAAGGGACGCCCTGGACGATCTCGAACCAGTGGCCGGACAGGGTGACCTCCATGACCTCGTACTGGTCGTACATGGCCGTCGCCTCGCGCGTCTCGACGAAGCGGTAGACGGACTTGAGGCCGCGCTTGACGACCTCGAGGTTGAGCACGGCGACGGGCGTCGCGCCGATGTCCTCCGTCAACTTCGCGAAGCCGTGCATCTCGACGTCGCCGCGCTTCACCTTCGCGAGCAGCGCGCAGAACTCGCCGAAGTCGAGCTGGCCGGACCCGTCCGCGTCGATGTCCTTCATGAGCTGCGCGGCCTTGTCGACGCTGTGGTCCATCTCGAGGGCGCGCATCATGTCGAAGAGCTCGTCGCAGTTGATCTCGCCGTCGCCGGAGCGGTCGTACTCCTGGAAGAGGTCGACGATCTCCTCGAACTCGAGCGGCGTGAAGTCGTTGACGTACTGGTCCGGGCACGTGAGGCCGTCGATGCAGAGCACGAGCTCGCCGGCCGCCGTGATGTCGCGCGCGACCATGGTGGCTCTCTGGTGGCCGCGCGCGGCGGCGCCGCGTCAAGGAGGAGTGGGCTGTGGTTCCTACGGTGTTTTGTGCGTGTGTTGGCGGCCGCGGTCCGCCCGCCGGCGCCGCGCCGCGCCGCGCGGTGTCGCCGCGGCCGTCGGAGAGCGGCGCGCGCGCCTCCGGCGCGCGCGGCGCGCCGCGCTCGAGGGCCGCACGCCGAACGCTGGGCAGCCCGAGTGGTCGAGTGAGAGCGCTAAACGTCGTAAGTTGAAGCATTCATGTGGTTTTATTGAAGTAAGAGAGCATGGTCGAGGCAGCCCCTGCAGCTCAGCGCTACCGCGTCGTGGGCAAGAAGGGCGCGCTGCTCCGGGCGGCGGCGAGCCTCGACAGCGAGCCCTGCGGCGAGCTGGCAAACGGCGACGTCGTGCGCGTCCTCGAGCGGGAGACCGTGGGCAGCCGCGAGCGCTGGCGCGTCGAGCACGACGCGGCGAGCGGCTGGGCGACGGCGAAGATGTTCGAGGCCGTCGACGGCGCGCCCGTCGACGGCGCGGCGCCGTCGACGCCGCCCGTCAAGAAGAAGATCGAGATCAAGAAGAAGAAGCGGCCGAATCGAGGCAAGGCGCTCGAGCTCGCGCGCGCCTACGTCGACGCGGCCCGCCGCGGCGCGGCCTTCGACGTCGACGACGCGGCCATGTCGTCCGCCTGGCGGGTCGTCGGCGTGCCCGACCTCGCCCTGGCCCTGAGCCGGAAGGCCGGCGACGCGGAGGCCGTCGCGGAGATCGAGGAGGCGATCGCGCGCGTCGACGAGCGCCGGGGCCTCTTCTTCCCGCGCGAGGCGAGCCGCGGCGACACGGCCCTGTCGCCCCAGCGCCACGGCATCGCCGTCGCCGACGGGGTGTTGCAGAAGCCGGGCTCGGAGATCGTTCTCGGGTACCGGTGCTGGCGGTTCGTGCCCGACCTCTCGAAGTGCGCGGACCCGGAGGTGCGGAAGATACGAGTCCCGTACGACGTGCCGCCGCTTTTGATCTACTTCCACGGCAACGGCGAGGTCGCCCCGGAGTACGACTCCTTCGCCCAGGTCTACCTGCGGCTGGGCGTCCGGCTCTGCGTCGTCGATTTTCGCGGCTACGGGTGGAGCAGCGACGCGCCGACGAAGGCGTCGGAGCTGCTGAGCGACATGATGGCCGTGGTCTACGGCCTCGACGACCTCAAGACCGCCGCGGGCCTGCCGCGGGACTGCAAGACCATTCTTTTCGGGCGGAGCATGGGGTCCATCCCCGCGGCGCATCTCGCGTGTTTGGCGCCCGCGTGCTTCCCAGGGCAGCAAAAGGGTGATTCAACGTCGCTTCAACGTGAGTGTTCCGCGCGCGCGCGTTTCGGAGACACCTTTGAAGTTGGGAATTTCGCACCCTTTTGCTGCCCAGGTGCTTCGACGGGATCATCGTCGAATCCGGCGTCGCCGTGTCCGTGGGCGCCGCCAAGGGCAAGGTCCTGGAAACCTCGGAGAAGTTCGGGTTGGTGCCCGAGGACGTGCCGGCGCTGGTCATCCACGGCGACGCGGACGCGATCGTGCCCTACGAGAACGGCAAGGCGTTCTGCGCCGCGCGGCCGTCGGCGCGGCTCCTCACGCTCAACGCGGGGCACAACGACCTGTGCGCGTCCGGCGTCCGCTGTTTCGCGGCGCATCTCGTGCGATGTCGCGTCGCCCCTCCGCAGGCTCATGGACCCCGCGAACGGCCAGGCCTACTTCAACGCCGTGCGGCTGCTCGTGCACGCCGCGGTGTCCGGCGCGGAGCTCCCGAGGGACATCCCCCACGCGAAGGGGGCCAAGCCCGCGCGGCCGTCGGGCTTTGGCAGTCTCGCCTAATTAGGGTCGACCGGCCGTGGTCGACCGGCCGTTCCTCATGTAGACGGGCTTGGCGACGGTGTGCCGCGACGCGGCCTGCTGGAACGCGACGGACTGGCGCGAGCCGAAGACGACGCTCGGCCGCCGCTCGGCCGGGCCGTCGCGAGGCGAGTGCCGCCGGAGCCGCGCGTCGATGTCGTCGGCGACGGCCGCGCGGACCTCGGCGGCGATGCGCTTCGCGAGCGCGTCGTCGTTTTCTCGCCTGACCTCGCGCGCGACGAGCCGCGCGAGGGCCGCCAGGTCGCCGGCCGCGAGGGACGCCAGCGCCGGCCCGTCCCCGGCCGCGCCGTCGGACGGCACGGGCGCGACGTCCGCGACGACCGCCTCGACGCGCGTCTCGCTCACGTCGCCCATCGCGGGGATGGCGTCGCGGAGCCGCGGCGAGCCGGCGTCGTCGTCGGCGTCCTCGTCGAGCGTTTCGTCGTTCTCTTCCGGCTCGAAGGACCGGCGCCGCACCTTGCGGCCTTCCCGTTTCGCGTTCACGTACTCCGCGACGTGGCGCAGGAGGGCCGCCTTGACGCGGTAGAAGACCTGGGCGCACTTGACGGCGCGGTGCTCCTCCGGGTAGTCGCCGTTGTCGAGGATCTCGAAGAAGTCCGTCTGTTCCAACGTCACGACCTCCGCGTACGTCAGCGACGACCCGTAGCTTCGGTCGAGGGCGTACGCGTGCTCCTCCCGGAGCACGAAGTCCAGCCCCCCGACCTGGCCCTTGCCCATGGGCTTGCCGCTCCGCGCGACGATGCCGCTGTTGAGGATGCAGAGGCTCACGGGCACCTCGACCAGTTCCAGCGGCGCGAAGAGGTGGATCGTGAGCGCCTGGGACGTGTGGGCGACGAAGGTCGGGCTCAGCTCCGCGAGCGTCGGCGGGCTCAGGAACCAGCAGTTCGCGAGCCAGGTCTGGTTGTTCGCGACGGCCGCGGTGGACCGCAGCGTCAGGCTCATCTGCTGCTCGAGCTGGCGGTCGTTCGCGGCCTTGGCGAGGTGCTTCGCGTTCTTCATGAACATGCGGCAGCGCCGCCGGAGCTCCATGTCGAAGTTGCGGTCGTGCATCATCTCGTTCATCTCGTCCATGGTCTGCTTCCACTGGACCTCGTAGATGTCCATCGTCGCGAGCGTCGCGCAGAACGAGCCGATGGTGTAGGCCCAGAAGAAGCTGCCGAAGAAGATGAGGCGCGACGCGACGGCGCACTCCGTCGGGTTCGTCGCCGTGATGTCGCCGTAGCCGATGGACGTCAGCGTGTAGACGGAGAAGTAGAGCGCCGCGGCGTAGCGGTGCGGCATCGAGCTCCGGCGGAACGTCGGCCGGCCGTCGCCGCCCCGGCCCCGCGGGTCCGCCTTGGACGCCTCGAGCGCCTTGACCCAGGTCCAGGCGTCCTTCTCCGCCATGACGTCCACCAAACCCCAGAGGCACGCCATCCAGTGGCTCACGAAGACGATGCCGACCGCGAAGCCGTACATGGAGATCTTCGCGTAGGACAGCGCCATGGACGTCTCCCAGCGCGCCAGCGTCCGGTTCGCCCGGAGCACGCGGCCGAGCTTCAGGAGCTTCAGGAGCTTCACGAGGCGCACGGCCTTCAACCGGTTCAGCGCGTCGACGGGAATCAGGTCGAAGGGGATCACGGAGACGACGTCGACCCAGAACCAGCCCCGCAAATAGCGCTTCGCGATGAGGATGCGGCTCCTAACCACGAGATTGCCCCGCGTGCGGTCCTGGTAGGGCAGGAAGAACTGGACGCCGATGTCTTTGATGAAGACGAGGTCCACGAGGCGGTTGATCCACCAGATGGCCCACTGCTCCGGCGGACCTCCGAGCTGGCGCGTGAAGCCGACCTCGACGGGCGTCACGATGGCCGTGAAGAGCAGGAAGAGCGTCGTGATGATGTCCCAGCGCGCCATGTAGTCGCCGTTGGGGTCGAGCACGCCGCCGCTGCTCCGCTTCAGCCGCTTCCGCACGACCTCGACCTCGGCCTTGATCGTCGGCCGCCGCCAGCGGACGGTGCCGCCGCCCGGCGCTACCCTGCCGAATTGCTGCGTCCCGAAGGGCAGGTTCGTCATCATGGAGTCACGGAGGCGCGCTTCCTCGTGCTTGCTCTCGCCGGACGCGGCGACGTCGATCATCTTCGCCGACGCCTTGGGCGACCAATGCGGGCTCCGCGCGTCCTGGACGGCCGCGTCCGCCGGGCGAGCTCCCGCCGAAGCACGAAGAGGCGACGGCGGCGCCATCCCGGGTTCGAGGTCTCGCAGCGCGAGATGTCCGCGGAGGCATTCGCGAACGTCACGGGCTGTGTGGAACTCAACAGGTACCTAGAACACACTGCAGCCCATCGTTGTTGTCGATAGAGTCCGAGGAAACCGCATAGATTTCGGTCTTCAATGAAAACTCGGGTGAATTTGCCAATCTTGGAACGGAAAAAGTAACGGCCCTGACGAAATCGACAGCGCTAGCGGCCATTAGGTACCAGCCCACGCCACACGTGCCGCCCTCGACGACGCCCCCTCATCAAAATACGGGGATGTAGAGCAGGATGCCCTCGGGCGGGATCGTGCCGAAGGACTCGAGCGCCGCGGACGCGGCGAGGCCCGGCGACGGCGGCCGCGCGGCGACGTCGCCGCCCTCCGTCTCCGGCGGCGGCGGCGGCGGCGCGCCCGCGTCGGCGCCGGGGTCGGCGGCCTCGACGCGCGCGCCCTCCGGCTCGGGCGGCCCGGGCGCCGCGAGCGCCGCGGCCGCGCCGTCCGCCGACGCCGCGAGCAGCAACAGCAGCGCGCGGCGCCCGTCGCCCCGGAAGATGATGGGCAGGCGCAGCCGCGCGGCGTACCACAGGGCGCCGTAGTAGAGGTGGGGCACCTCGCGCCGCAGCGCGTCCGCGCCCAGGGACCGCTCGCCGCGCGTCGCCAGCCGCTCCTCGAGCGCGACGCGCAGGTCGCCGGGTCCCCCGTAGGCGACGCGCGTCTCCGAATCGCCGTCGCGCGCGGCCAGCGTCGCCTCGAAGGCGCGGCACGTGCGGCAGCCCTTGCAGACGAGGCGCACGAGGCCGCGCTCGTCCGCGCCGTCGAGGACGGCGCCGAGCACCTGGGCCTCGCTGGCCTCGCGGCCGCACGCGTCGCACGAAAACGGCTCCGGCCAGAGCGCGACGCGCCGCGCGTCGCCGTCGTCGAGCGCCGCCGCGCGGTGCAGCGTCGCCGACCGCCGCCGCCGCTTGTAGGACCCGAACAGGGCGTCGCCCGCGGAGAAGAGGCGGCCGTCCTCGTCCGCGAGGTCGTCGACGCGCCCCAGAAACGCCGTGTCGACCTTCCGTTCGGCGCAAAACCGCACGCCGCTCAGCTCCAGCCACGCCAGCGGGTGGTCCTCCTCGACGCCGTCGGGCCCCGCGAACGTCGGACGCCGCGGCGCCGCCGAGTCGGAGCGGCTCGCCGACGCGTTCCGCGCGAAGAGGTCCGGCGCCTCGAGCCCGCGCGCGGGGTCGTTGCCCGACGCCGCCAGCGCGAACAAGGAGAACGTGATCTGGCCCGGCAAGACCCGCAGATCGCGCATCGTCTCGAAGAGCGCCGCCGCGACCTTTCGAGCGAACGTGCGGCACTCGGCCGACGTCGCGAGAAACCGGAGCTGCCCCGCGGCGAGCAGCAGCCCGCGCCACTCGACCTCGTCGGGCACGAGGTGCGACCGTAGTAAATGGAACAACAATCCCAACGCTCGCAGGAGCGCGGCGGCCATCGCGTGGTCGTCGCGCCGCCGCAGCAGCCGCGGCACGCACACGAAGTACATCGCGAACACTTCGGACGCGGCCCCGAAGGGCCCCGCGCGCCGCCGCCGCCGGTCGCCGGCGACGCGCACGAGGGACGTGCGCCGGTAGAACTCCGCGGAGCTCCTCGCGTCCGTCGCCGCGCCGGCCCGCGCGTCGGCCGCGAGCGCCTCGAGCGGCTCCGCGACGGCCGCGGCCGCCGACGCGCGCGCGGCCTCGTCGCCGACGAGCAGGGCCCACTCCGACGCGTCGGGCGGCGGCCGCGCCATCGCCGCCGCGCCGTCCAACAGCGGCACGCGCGCGACGACGGCCACGCAGGGCTTCGCGTGCGCCTCGCGCGCGTCCAAGAGCTCCGAGAGCGCGGGCCCGTCCGCCGCCGGCGACACCGCCGTGTCCGCCCGCAGGTGCACCTCGACGATGCGCTGCACGTAGACGGCGAACATCTGCGTCTCGGCGAAGGCGCGCCGGAAGGCGTCGCCGCCGCAGTAGCCCTCGCTGTCGAAACAGCCGCGGAAGCCGGACGCGAAGTAGCCCTCGGCCGACGCCGCGTCCGGCGCGCGCACGCGTTGCCGCGCGCCGTCGAGCAGCGACGAGATGAGCGGCGCGAAGGCGTCGCGGACGGCGAGGCCCTCGGCGTCGACGTCCACGTAGCACCGGCGCTTCGCGGCCTCGACGCGCGCGACGAAGGCCTCGCGCGCGGCCGCGGCGACCTGTGCCGAATTCAACCGCTGGTTTGGGTGGTCCTCGACCAAACTTGAGAATTCTCTAGCTCGGTCAAATCGAAGTCGATTCGGCTGATTTTTGGACGAATCGATTGCTCTCATCGAGTTCTCGAAGCGAAGCCAAAGAAGTTGCGTCGAAACATTCGCGTACGCTCACATTGAAGTCGAGTTGAAGATTTGAATTCGGCACGGGCGGCGACCGACGGCGCGTCGCCGTGGATGCCGACGTCGAGCGTCCGCGCGGCGACGTCGACGACGACCACAGAATCGTCGACGCCCTCGGGGACGACGCGCCGCGGCTCGCGCCCCCGGCGGTGGGCGATGGCCGCGAGCACGGGCACGACGCCCGAGAGGAGGTCCGCGGCGACGCGCTCCGGCAGCCGGTCGACGGACGGGAGCGCCCAGCTCAGCGGGAACAGCAGCGTCTTCAGCGCGTCGAGGAAGAACGACGGCGCCCGCTGGGCGCCGCAGACGAGCACGGGCTTCTCCAGTAACACGAGCTCCAGCAGGCGCGCAAAGTCCGGCGGCTCCAGCGCGCGTAGGAACGCGAGCCACGCGTCCTTGTCGTCCAGGGACCGCAGCCCCGCGCGCGCGACGCCCGACGACGGCACGACCATGTCCCGCAGCGGCGCCCGCTGCTCCGGCGTCTTCGCCGAGTCCACGAAGACGCACCGCAGGTCCACGCGCGACTCCGGCGACGGCAGGTCGACCGCCGCGAGCGTCGCCAACAAAATTTGGAACGCGCGGCGGTTCCGCGAGAGCGCGAGCCGGAACAGTTCGAAGCAGGCCGTGCGCATGCAGGCTAGAGCGTCGGGCCGCCGGAAAACGACGCAGAACACCACCGGCGCGAAGCCCGCGTACGTCGCCCGCTCGTCGAGGTGCGCGCCGAGCGGCGCCTGGGCGGGAACGGGGCGATTCGACGTCGCTTCAACACTCGAGTGTTCCGCGCGCGCGCGTTCAAGAAAAAAGCATGTACGCTTCGAGGCCGTTCCGAGAGATGATCGCTCGTCCAAAAATCAGCCGGAACGAGTGGACACCGGCCGAGAGAGGAGCCTTTGGGCACGTCGCGCGCTTGTCCCGCGCCGAGCGGCGCCGTCTCGTCGCGCCCGACGGGCGTCCGCGGGGCCTTGGGCGACTCCGGGTCGTCGTTCGTGGCGTCGTCGTCGTCGTCGTCGTCGTCGTCGTCGCCCCAGGCCGCGGACCAGGCCGTGGCCAGCGACGGCCGGAACGTCCGCGCGTCGCGTTCGACGCCGCGCCGGAGCCGCGACACCTCGCCGTCCTCGAGGCGCCAGTCGAACTTGACGCAGGCCACGTGGCGCGCGTCGCCGCGGGAGTCCGTCATCTCGAAGGAGAAGGCCTCGGGCGGCGCGACGTCGTCGCAGCGCTGCAGCGTGAGCCCGAGAGGGACGTCCAAGACGAACGACGCGAAGTGGCTCGGCACGTCGCCGTGGGACGCGAGCACCGCGGGCTCCCGCGGCCCGTCGATGCCCAGGGGGCTGCTATACACACCCTCGACGACGGGCCGCTCGCCGTAGACGTTCGCGTAGCCTTTTGGCTCGTCGACGACGGTCCACGCGTCGTCGGCGTCCGCGCGCCGCGCGTCGCGCGCGCGCAACTCCACGAGCGCGCGCGGCGGGAAGGCGCACTCGCCGCTCGACGCGAAGCGCACGTAGAGGTAGAGCGCCTTGACCGCCGACAGGCGCCCGGCCGTGAGCGACGGCGGCGCGCCGCGCGCGTCGCCGCAGCGAGCGCACGCGCGCCAGCCGGGCCCGGGGCAGCTCGGCGCCGCGCGCGCGTCGCAGACGTAGCGGAACGTGCCGCGCGCGCTCGCGCCCACGCGCAGGACGGCCAGGCGCACGCGCCGCAGGCCCAGGCCCACGTTGATGGCGCCGCCGCAGAGCTCCCAGGGCGCCGGCGGCGCCTCGTCGCCGACGACGAGGCCCACGTCGACGACGCAGCGCGCCCACTCGTCGGCCTCGATGGTCGTCGCCGCGCAGCGCAGGTTCAGGCCCACGCAGGCGAAGGCCTCCATCGCGCGGGTGCGCTCAGGAGCGAGCTGCTCTCACAACATGCTCTCCCTGATGAGATGGGCCAACGTCGGCTCGTTGCAGTGCAACATACGCGTCAGCACACAAAAAGAATTAGGGCGGGGCGACGCAGCCGGCCGCCGCGCAGGCGCCCGCGTCGTCGTCGTCGGCGGGGGTGACCATGTCGACCGCGGCCAGCTCGACGCTGAGGACCGCGTCGCCGTGCGCGGCGGCGTCGTACGCGTCATCCGAGCGCGACCCGTCGACGCCGGTGGCGTTTCCTTCCGCGCCGCCGCGCGACCCGTCGACGCTCGCCGCGCCGCCGCCGGCGACGTCGGGCGGCGGCGGCGGCGGCGTGCCGGCGACGTCGGGCGGCGGCGGCGGGCCGTCGCGCGACCCGCCGTCGCGGGCCGCGGCCGCGCTCCCGTCGGTCGCCGCCGCGGCCGGGCCGTCGCCGTCGCCGTCGCCGTCGTCGCTCGAGAAGCGGCGCACGAGGTTGGCGATGACGTCGGTCTCGCGCGCGCGCATGTCCGTCTCGAGGTCGTGGCGGTTCTGCCCCCGCGGCGTCGGCTTGATCGGCGGCGCGGCGGCCTCCGCGTCCAGGCGGTAGAGGTCGTCGGCGGAGATGAGCGCGCGGCTGCTCCGGCGCATGGAGTGGCGCGTGTCGCGGCCGCGCGCGGACTCGAAGGCGTTGAGGACGCCGACGAGCTCGTTGCGCGCGTCCTCGGACGTCGGACTCGTAGGGCGTCACCCGTTTGCCGTCGGCGTCCACGCGCCGGCCCTCGGACACGGCCACGAGCAGGCCCGTGCGGTACTCCATGACGTAGGCGACGTCGCCCGTCGTCGTCGCGCCGGCGACGGCCGCGTCGACGGCCGACAGCACGTAGTCGACGCTCGCCGTCATCGTCCGCCGCCCCCGCCAGTCCGCGTAGACGCGCGTCGCCGTGATGCCCAGGTCGCCGTTGCTGTGGAACTCGTAGATGTCGGACCACGACGAGTCGGCGCCGTCGGACTCCCACACCTCCATGGCCTCGGTGTACCAGGGCCGCATGCGCGGGTGTGTCCGCCGTGGACAGGCCGGCGACGCAGTCCAGGACGTCGTCGCAGGTGGAGTTGTACAAGCCCTGGGCGAACGCGAAGACGTCGCACTTGCCGAGGATCCACGCGCCGCACGCCGGGAAGCCCTGGCGCGGGCCCACGTCGACGCGGTGGCGGCACGCGGGCTGGAAGCCCGGGTACGCGGCGTCGCAGGGGTCGCTGCCGTTGCAGGCCTTCGTGTAGTTCCAGGGGCAGTCCCAGCCCGGGAGGAACGACATCTCGTAGCTCCCGTTCGCGTCCTTCTTGTTGTGGTAGCCGAGGAAGGCGCCGTCTTCGGCGCGTGAGAGGTACATGGTGTCGAAGCTGCTGTCCAGCGCGAACTTCTTCATGAGCGAGAACACGACGGACGCCGCCACCGTGAAGTCGTTGTCGATGTCCTCCAGGAAGAAGGTCTCGTAGAAACTGATCATCGAATCGATCGGAATCCAGGGCTGCTCTAACATGTCCTGGATGCTCGTCTGCACGAGGAGCACCGCCGCCGTCGGCTGGCCCCGGCACGGCGCGACGAGCGCCACGAAGAAGAAGGCCCCGAGGAAGGCATTCAACCGGACCATGCTGGCGCACGGCCAGCCTGCCCAGGTCGTGGGTTTTGTTTTTCCACAGTTGCGGCTACAACATGTCAATCTTTACTTCAATCTTTGATCCGATGATCGTCACGTCGGCTCACCGCCCGAGGTGTCCTCGTTCTGTGTCCTCCTCCGACAAGCCCGTCCCCCGGCGCTTTTAGTGCGATTCCCCCTCGGCCTTTCCCGGGGGGCCGTCGCGGTCCCCGCCGGCCGCCCCCCCGCGCTTCGCGCGCCGCGCGAGCTCGATGAGGTTGTTCTGCTCGTGGAGGTCCCGGCCGACGATGTCGCAGTAGCGCTGGAGCGGCAGGATCTTCGGCCGGTCGTCGTGGATGCCGAAGGGCTCCTCGATGATGTGGCCGATCTCCTCCGTCGCGAGCAGCATCCACGACACGAGCACCGTCGCCGGCGGGATGAGCGGGAGCGGGAGCGCCTTGAGCATGATCACGGGGCTCAGCAGCGTCCAGATGGACAGCAGCCGCGACGTGTGCCGCGAGTAGGACAGGGGCACGGGCGTGCCCGCGATCGCTTCGGCGTCGCCGATCGCGTCCTGAAGGTCGAGGATCATCGACTCCATCTGCCACCACAACAATTGCGACGCGGCCTGCGAGCCCTCCGACGCGCGGCGGATGCCGTCGACCTCCGCGGACAGGGCGTAGGACACCGCCAACGGCAAATTGTCCGCGGACTCGAGGTCGCGGCGCTCGCCGCCGAGGAGCATGTCGAACGCGTCGACGTCGCGCTCGCCCCGGAGGTGCTGCTTCAGCGCGAGGGGGAACGCCGCGAGCCACCGCAGCAGCACGCCGGACACGACGTCGTCGTCGTCGTCGAAGGTCGCGTAGCTCCGCGACGCCCGCGCGATGGCGCGCACGCGGTTCACGACCCGGGCCCAGACCTGGCGGCCCTCCCAGAAGCGGTCGTACGACTGGCCCGTGCGGAACGCGAGGAGGATGCCCAGGATGCCCCCGGACAGCGTGAACGGCGCGAACCAGTCGAAGTCGTCGGCCCGCGACCCGTAGTCGAGGCCGACGATGCCCACCCAGGGCGCCTCGTTGTCCTGCGCGTAGACGAGCCACGCACCGTAGCACGAGACGACGACGACCGACCAGACCGTGTTCGCGACGAGGTGCCCGCCGATGCGCTCGAGGACGGACGAGGACCCGATGTTCTGCAGGTTGAACCACCAGTCCTTGATGCTGTAGCGCGTCGGCGCGTCGAGCGTGTAGCCGACCTCGTCGCTGTAGCTGCTCAGCCGCTCGAGGTAGCCGGCGCCGACGCGCTCGGCGCGCAGCGGGACCGTGCGGTGTCGCAAGCGCGGCGCCCGCGGCGCGGTGAACGCGCGGGCCTGGCTGGCGAGGACTGCGGCGCAAGCGAGCAATAATGAAGCCATACGCGTGAGAGCACCGACTTAGATCGGTGCTTGCTGTGCAACATAAAGGTTCAATAATCCCGCGCGAGACGCGTTGCCGGGATTTTTATTAAACTTTTATTGAACCTCTACGACAGCTGGCTCTTTTTCGCCGGTTTGTGGTGCTTATTCGCGTTTTTCCCCAAGCCCGTGTTGCTTTTGTAGCGGCTGGCACCAAAGTTGTGCAAAGTGAAGAGCCGCGACGATGGTGGGCAGCGTCGAATGTTCGCCGTTGTGCGCGGCGTTTCTGGCCTGCGGCGCGTATTACGTGCTCTTCGGCGCCCTGCACGAGCTGGCGCACCTCGGCGCCGCGCTACTCTTGGGCTGCCGGGGCTGCCTCACGCGGCGCAACGTGGTCGACGCGTGCTGCCGGCGGTCCGTGGCCATCGATGCGGCCCCGGGCTGGCGGCGGTGCGCGATCCGCCACGCGGCCTGGGTCGCGTCCCTGGCGCTCGCGCTGTGCGCGGGCCCGGGCTGGCGCACCGCGCGGCGCGCGGCGGCCGCGGCGACGGCGGTCGAGGCGTTCGCGTCGGACGCGCTGGGTCGCTGCCGGGCCGCGGAGCGGTCGGCGCACCCCGACCGCTTCTTCTGCGGCAATTTCGGCATCATTCTGTTGGACGACTGCTGGCGGCGGTCGTCGAAGACGCTGGCGCGGGCCAAGGACATTTTGGAACAAATGGTCACGGTGACGATGATGCGCGGCGCGCAGTCCGGCGGCGTCGTCACCTACGTCAAGGGCCGCACGCCCGGCGAGGTCCGGGGCGTGCGGTCCCGCGTCGTCAACGCGAAGCGCACGAGCCTCGACGCGCTCGTCCGCGCGAAGCTCGACCGCGACGAGCGCTTCGCGAACGGTCTCGACGGCGTCCGCTTCTACGCGGGCCACACGCGCTTCGCGACGACGTCGAAGGCGACCTTCGACGGCACGCACCCCCACCAGTGGGCCCGGCCCGTGACGCGCCAGGTCGTCGACGGCTTCGACGCGGGGAAGCTGGCGCAGGCCGCGCCGCGCCGCGTCGAGACGTTCATCTGCCACAACGGCGACCTGGAGTTCTTCGACGTCGGCGACCGGACCTACGATCTGGGGGCCATCCAGGCCTGGCTGGAGCGGGCGACGGGCGACCCCATGCCCGCGGCCGTCGACAGCGCGGCCGTCGCGGGTTTAATCGACCTCCACCGGTGCCAGGGCTGCTGGTACCTCGCCGTGCGCTACGCGTTCCTCTTCGGCCCGGACCGCGACGGCCTGGACTACGAGGTGCCCGCCGCCGCGGCCTTCGCCGCCGTCGCCAGGGGCTTCGAGAGCGCCTTCGCGGAGGCGCTGCGCGACGACCCGGACCTCCGGGCGCGGACGTCGCCGCGCGCGCGCGCGGGCCTCGCGGCGGACGCCGCGAACCGCCTCGACGCCGCGGGCGTCGACTTCTTCGAGCAGGACTCCGGCGGGCCCAGCAAGAAGGTCCAGGGCGCCATCGCGCTCGCCCGGGCGGCGCTCGCGGAGCTCGAGCGGGGGAAGCGCGCGGCGACGGTCGCGGGCGTCGCGCGCGTGGCCGTCGACGCCTTCTTCGACAACGACCTGCTCTACAGCGTGCGCCTCTTCATGCAGCGGGCCAAGGGGTCCTTCGGGCTGGCCGTGACGTCCGCGCTCGACGCGCGGCGGCAATTAGTCATCGCCGCGCGCGGGCAGACGATGTCCGTCGCGTGCTACCCGAAGGCGGGCCTCGTGCTCTACGGCTCGGAGCAGGCGGCGGTCAAGGCGGCGCTCGGCGTGCGGCGGCCCGAAGGAGGCTGGAAAGACGGCTCGCGGAGCTCGGACCTGAGCGACCTCGACGACTACCCGGGCAAGGTGCACCACGGCGACCTCGCCGTGCGGCTGGATTTGGACGACCTCGGCGGCGAGGTCTGCCTCCTGGACTGGGGCGGCCCGGGCACGCGGCCGACGACGTCCGGCGGCAACGACGGCGTGCAGACGCACTACCTCGCGGCCGGCCGCGTGAGTTACACGCTCGTCCAGGAGTCGCTGCGCCACCACACGCTCAAGCGGCGCCTCGTGCCCCTCGAGCGCAACCCGCTCATCCTGCCGCTCCCCAGGGTGGCGAAGGAGCCCGTCGCCGCGGACCTCGCGGACGTGCCCCGGGTCCTCCAAAACATCCGCGACGAGTGGAACGACGGCCAGCTCAACCGCCTCGCGGCCTGGACGCTGGGCAAGAAGCTGCGCGCGCGCCTCGAGAAGCGGGCGTCGGGGGACCTGCCGTCGCACGGCGTCGACGTCCTCGTCACGGGCTGCGAGGTGAGCCTCTGGCTCGCGGAGCAATTCGCCGCGGACCTGTCGCTGTGCCTCACGCGGCTCAACGTCAAGGCCATCAGCAGCAACAAGATCCTGGGGTTGCTGGGCCAGGACTTCCCCGCGCCCCAGACGGGCCACGCCTTCGCCGAGGGCGGCTGGGACCTGCGGGACGCCATCGTGATCATCGTGAGCCACAGCGGGGGCACGTTCGGGCCGCTCGCCGTCGCGAACCTGATGCAGGCGTCGACGACGGACATCTTCGTCGTCACGTCGGAGTGGGACACGCAGATCGGGAAGCAGGTGCGGCTCATCAACACGGGCGCGCTCGACGCGCGCGTCTTCACGACGAACGTCGGCCTGAGGCCCGCGGAGCCGTGCTCCGTGTCCGTGGTCGCGACGCACCAGCTCCTCACGCACATCCTCATGTACGCGTGCCAGGCCGTGCTGGGGTCGCCGAACCTGCGGCAGATCGCCGGCGTGGCCATCGGTTTGACGGAGGCGTCGCTCGCGGAGCTCGAACGGAGCAACCGCGAGTCCGTCGCGGCCGTCGAGGACATGGTCGGCGTCACGCGGAAGGGGGCGAAGCGGCCCTCGGCGGTCCACGACGCTCTAGAGGCCCAGGGCAACCACTGGGCCCAGCACGTCCTCGAGGCGCCCCGGGCCTGGCTCCTCTGCGCGGTCTACGTCTTTTTGACCGTCGCCGTCTTTTCGCCGCCGTGCTCCGCAATCGCGGCCCATTTCTTCGGCGTGTCCAAGGGGCCGGCCCCGGGCCTCAGCTGGCTGCCCCTCGTGGTGGATGCATTCATCTACATCTGGCTCAACGAGATCATGACCGCGGCGCTGCGCGTCGCCCAGGGCCGCGCGCTCTACCACCGCGTCGGCGGCCGCACGGTCGTCTTCGGCGACGTGCCCTGGGTCGCGCAGGCCGCCGAGGCCTTCTTATCCAAGTGCTTCGCCTGCACCTACGCCATGACGTCGCTCAACGTCCACAGCGCGAACCCGGCGGACCACCTCGTGCACCGGTTCACGCATCGGGTCGCGCGGGGGACGCTGCTGGCCGTGGGCCGCCCGGACGGGCGGCTCAGCGCGCTGACGACGGCGGAGGCGTCCGTGTGCCTCAGCGTGAACCAGGCGTCGTCGATCCAGTCGCTGGGCATCACCTGCGAGAGCGTCACCGTCGGCCACAACCCGACGAAGCTGCCGTTGACGGCGAACGCGATCTTCATCCCGAGGAGCCGGCCGAACTATCTGTGCGAGGAGCTGCTCAAGGAGGCGCTCGTGCAGCGCGGCGAGGCCGACGGCCACTGCGACGACTGCGCCTGCTGCCACAGGGCGTTCCACATGCCGCCCATGTCCGCGGGCCAGCTGCTGGGCGAGTACATCTCGCTGCGGACGCAGAACGAGCGCGGCGCCGGCGACTCGAGGCGCGACCCGACCTCGACGGAGGCCATCGTCGACGACATTTTACATCATTGCTCCGACGACCCCAAGGTGCGGCGGCGCAAGGCGCTCCGGGAGGTCTTCGATAGCATCGACGTCGACGGCGGCGGCACGCTGGACCTCGAGGAGTTCACGCAGGCCTACCGGAAGCTGCTCTTCGACGACCTGACGGACCGCCAGATCGCGCTCGTCTTCCGGGACACGGACGTCGACGGCTCCGGCGAGGTCGACTTCGAGGAGTTCGTGGAAGCGATGGACGCGAGCTCGCTCGAGCGGCTCGTGAAGCTCCAGATGAAGAACGACGACAAGCAGGGCTGGCTCTTAGCGTCCGAGGAGATCTACTACGGGAAGAGCCTCCGGGAGACGGCGCCGGCGAGCCTGCGGGGCTACAACCTCGTGGAGACGCAGCACGTGTCCATGAAGCTCTACGAGTCGCGCATCGCGAGCCTCGAGCGCTGCGTGGCCTTCTTCGTCATGTCCCACGCGCTGGGCAGGACCGTCGCGGACTGGTGGCCCTTCTGGACGCTGGGCTTCTTCCGGTATCGCATCGACCGCACGCACTCGATCATGCGCATCGCGACGACGGCGTCGCCCGTGTCGGGAGCGGACATCCGCGAGCGCATGAAGCAGCTCGCGCTCGTCAAGCAGTGCCGCAACACGCTCCAGAAGATCGTCGAGTGCCAGTCGAGCTTCCGCCTGCGCCGGCTCCTCGCGGGCGTCGGCTTCCGGCCGCCGTCGCGGCCGGAGTCGCGCGAGCCGTCGCGGTCGTCGACGCCGCCGCCGTTCCAGAACGGGCCGACGCCCGACGCGCCCTTCGCGACGCCCTTCGAGGCCTACTCCGCGGCGAAGACGGACGTGACGCTGAGCCGCGCGGGGTCCTTCGACGAGAGCCACCCGGACCACCATCCCGAGGAACTCGTGCACGTGCGGGACGCGCTGCCGAGCGAGCTGCCGCCCGCGCCGTCGTCGACGCGGTCGCGCGGCGAGGGCTTCGAACCGCCGGCGCGGCCGCGCGGCGAGGGCTCGCTGGACAGCAGCCTGAGCAAGGAGAGCAGGACGAGCAAGACGAGCGTGATGTCGATCGCCATGTTCGGCAGCGACAACAACCTGAGCAAGAAAGAGCAGCTCAAGCGCGCGTCCATGATGCTCGAGAAGCAGGCGTCGCACATGTCGCTGCCGTCGATCACGTCGCCCGCGTCCGTCAGCCGGCGCATCTCGCCGGCGACGTCGCCGAGGTACATCGCCTAGGAATTCGAAGATCGAGAAGCGCCATCCCGCGGCAATTCGACTCCGTTTAAAGTTTTGTATATGTAGTAAAAACATGCACATACCTAGGTAGTTAGATCAGCTCGCGTGATCCAGTTCGTGAGCGCGTAGCGCGGCGCCGCCGCGGGCCGGACCTCGTGCCAGAGGAAGCTGTCGAAGACGACGACGCGGCCGCCGCGCGGCGCGATGGGCACGCCGCCGGCCGTCGGCCGCTCCGCGCGGCGCCCCGGGTAGAGCACGAGGTGCCCCCCCAACTCGTCGGGCCACGCCGGGTCGTTGCAGTAGAGGATGGCCGTACTCGAGCGCGCGTTCGCCGCGCCGTCGCCGACGTCCTCGTTGTCCTGGTGGAGCCTGTAGCCCCGGTACCGCACGTCCTCGTCCGCGGCGGGGTAGCGCGCGACCATGAGCGCGGAAGGCGCCCGGTGGCGCGGGCCGAGCAGCGCCGCGACGCCCGTGAGGGCCCGGATCGCCCTCGCGAGCGCCGGCGCGCCGGCCGCGAGGGCCGCGGCGCTTCCGAGGTAGCCCGTCGCGTCGCCGCGCGTGCCGGCGGCGACCTGCACGTTCGCGGCCTGCGCGTCGAGCAAGCCCGCGGCGTGGACCGCGGCCACGTCCGCGCGGAGCGCGTCCAGCTTGTCGGCGTCGAGGCAGCCGTCGACGACGGCGTAGCCCCGCGCCGCGTAGTCCGCCGCCCAGCCGTCGCCGAGGAGCCGCCGGCCGTCGGCCTCGAACGGTTTCGGGTCGACGTCGTCGAGCGCGGGCAGCATGCGCTTGGGCCCGACGAGGAGCATCTCGAGGGCCATGAGGCAGCACTGGCGCCGGAGCAGCGCGGCGGCGGGCACGGTCGCGCCGCGCGCCGCGTAGGCCTGGAGGAGCTCGTCCTGCGCGCCGACCTGGAACTGGCGCAGCGCGCGGAGCGCGGCCGGGAACGCAAAGTCCTTCTCCGCGAGAGCCACGCCGAGCGCGTCCAGCGTCGCCTCGTGGCACGCTGGGTTCCCGCCTCCTCTGCGCCAGGCGCCGAACCGCGCCGCCGCGGCCGCGCCCTGGCCGGCGCGGAGCCGCCGCCAGAGCTCGCACGCCTCGCGCGCCGCGAGCCGCGGGTCGCCGCCGGAGGCCTCGGCGTCGGCGCGCACCGCCGCGGCGGCCGCGCCGTCGAGCGCGTCCAAGTGTGCCGCCTCGACGAAGAGGCCGCCCTCGGCGAGCTCGCACCAGTGGTCGTGCGCGTCGCCGGCCTCGACGACGTCGCCGGCGGCGATGTCGTAGCAGGCCGGCGCGGTCGGTGATGGTACGGGCCGCACAGATGTGCGACAGGTCGCGACGAAGAGGCGCGGTGCCGCTTCTTCGGCGAAGCCGCTCATGATCGGGCTTGGAAGGCGGCCAGCGTGTGGGGCAGCTAGGGCAACATGTGTGCAAGTTCGAGCACGTTGACGTCTCTTGGCGACTTCCGCAGCTCTCCGACGCGCAGCCTGCGCGCGCAGCCGCCGGAGGTCGCACCAAAGGTCGAAGCCATGGTCTTCTACTTCACGGCCGACGCCAAGGACCCCAAGGACGGCGAGGACTACGTCGTCTACATGGGCGCGGACAAGTTCGAGAACGAGGGCCTCATCGAGTGGGGCCAGAAGCGCGACGTCTGGTTCCACGTCGACGGCCTGAGCTCGGCCCACGTCTACCTCCGGTTGCCGCTCAAGAACGCGCAGTGCGACCCCGACGACCACCGCTGCGCGGGGTTGCTGGACCGCATCCCCGAGGGCGTCGTCGAGGACATGTGCCAACTGGTGAAAGCCAACTCCATCGAGGGCTGCAAGAAGGGGAGCGTCATGGTCGTCTACACGCCCTGGGCCAACCTCCACAAGGACGAGACGAAGATGCAGACGGGCGCCGTGGGCTTCCACGACAACCGGCACCGCGTGCTCCGGCGCGTCGACAAGGACAAGCAGGCGGTGAAGCGGATCGAGAAGACGCGGCGCGAGGCGTTCCCGGACCTCCAGCAGGAGCGCCTGGCCTACGAGCGCGAAGTCGTCGCGTGGCGCAAGGGCCGCGACAAGGAGTCGCGGGCGGAGCTGCTGGCCGGCGAGCGGGCGGCCAAGGACGCGCTCGAGGAGACGCGGCGGCAGCGCGACGCGTTCCTCGCCGGCATGGGCGGCGGTCCCCCGGCCAAGGAAGACGTCGTCGTCGACGACGTGCTGGAGCGGACGCGGCGCGACGTGCTGTTCCCGGAGAAGGCGGCGGCCGCGCGGCGGCGGGACGTCGGCGACGCGTGCTCCGGCGTCGACGCGGCGCTCGGGCAGCTGGGCCTCGCGCCGAAGGCGGGCGCCGCGCCCGCCGCGCCCGCCGCGGCGGCGCCGGAGGAGGAGGACGAGGAGCGGCCGACGTGGCGCGTCGAGGCGGACCGGCGCTACGGCATCCCGGAGAAGGAGGCGCGCTGGCTCGCGGCGCGCGGCTACGCGTGTGAAACGCCGCCGAAGGACCGCGACGCCGCCGTCGCGGCGCTCGCGGCGGCGCAGCGCGCGGACGCGTCCGTCCCCGCGGACTCCGGCGACGCGGAGGGCGCCGCGGACGAGCGCGCGGAGGAGCGCGACGCGCTCGAGGCCATCTACGCGGACGGCGAGCTGCGAGGCGCGGACCCGGCGCGGCCGGGCGACGCGTCGCTGGCCATCGTCGCCTTCGAGGCGCCGGACGCCGCCGCGCCGCCGCTCGTCATGGACGTGTTCGTCCACGGCGTCGCGCCGAGCTACCCGCGCGGCGGCGTGCCCGCCGTGGCCTTCTCCGGGGGGGGCCTCGCGGAGGCGGATTTGCGGTCCCTGGCGACGTCCGCGGCGTCATACGCGCGCGAGAGCGTCGACAACGGCATGCTCGTGTTCGAGCTCGCGGCCCACGCGGCCGACGAGGCCCAGGCGCTCGCGGACTCCGCCGCGACGCGCGCCGCGAAGCGCCGCGAGGACGCGGCCAAGGCGAAGCGCAAGGCGCTCATCGGCGCGGCGCCGCCGCCGCCCGGCGCCGCGCGGCCGCCGCCGCCGGGCGACGAGACGAAGCTCGCGGCGGCGCGCGCGCGCAAGGCCCAGGACGCGCAGAGCCGCCTCGGCGCCTTCGCGGGCGCGGCGCCGCGGCCCGGCGGCGGCGCGAAGAAGGGGCCGCCGAAGGCCGCCGTCGACGACGACGACGACTACATGTACGGCGCGGGCTCGGACTCGGACAGCGGCGACGACTTCGGCGTCGTGAAGATGGAGCTGTAACGGTTAGAGGACGTCGGGGTGGCGCCGGGGGACGGAGGACACGGCGATCCAGTAGGCGACCTCCCACTGCTCCGTGAGGTGCGCGAGGCACCGCCGCGCCTCCGCGAGGAGCGGCCGCCGCGCGCAGCCGAGCTCCGCGAGGACGGGCCGCCGCGAGCCCGCGGGCTCGACGAAGGCGTGGTGCGCGACGAAGACGAAGTTGTGGAGCCGCCGCACGGAGAAGGCCTCGAGCTCCGCGGGCGAGAACGCCATGAGCTTCTCGTACTTGCTCCCGGCGATGGGCGCGCGCGCGCGGCCGTAGTCGCCGAGCGGCTTCCGCGGGTCCTTGGCCACGCGCCCGAACTCGCGGAGCAGCGCGTGGCCGCGGAGCAGGCGCACGCGCGCCTGGAGGTCCTTTTTGTCGACGATCCCCTTGGACGTCGCCTTGTGGTCTTTGATCGCGGCCTTGAGCTGGCGCACGCTGAGGTTCTCGACGTCGCCGTCGCTGCGAATCGCGACGCCGGGGCGCGGCGGCCGCTGCATGCTCGGTTGGCGAAGCTCTAAGTCGACCGCCGGAGGTCGGTACCGAGCCTTTGCGGAGCGAACGCGCCGAGGCGCGGCGGTGCGCGCGGCAGGGGACACGAGGTCGACCTCCGCGGAGCTCCGGACGAGCGGCAACGGCGCGTCAAGACTCAGTCATCGACGGCCTCCTCATCCGATGGATGCCGCGCGGAACACGCTCCGACGCTGCCCGACGCGCTTCTTGGCGCTCGGGCAGCCCGAAACCAAACCCATCGGCACCTCGAGATGGGCTCCTTCACGCAGGCCATGGACGCCACCCAGCCCGCGCGCACGCTCGGCGAGAACGGCGCCCCGGAGCTCACGGCGCACGGCGTCGGCGACGCCCGCGTCGCCCTCTTCGCCGGCCTCACGCGGAACTGCGCCTCCCTCGACGCGCTCTGGGACGCCGCCGTGCGCGAGGCCAACGGCGACGCCGCGATCCTCGCGGACCTCGTCGTCCTCGCGTTCCAGACGCGGGACTGCCGCGGCGGCAAGGGCGAGCGCGCGCTCTTCACCAAGCTCTTTTGCCTCCTCATCGCGATCGCGCCCGAGGCCGCGGCCGCGACGGTCGCGCTCGTCCCCGAGTACGGCTCCTGGCGCGACCTCTGCGTGCTCTACGACGCCCTCGGCGACGCGTCGAACCTCCGCGACGCCGCGCGGGCGCGCGCGGAGGAGCTGCGGAGCGAGATCGTCGCCGTCTTCGCGAAGCGACTCCGCGCGGACCTCGCGGGCGCCGCGAAGCCGTCGCTCGCCGCCAAGTACGCGCCCCGCGAGCACAAGCAGCACCAGGCGCTGAGCGGCAGGCTCGCCGCGGCGCTCTTCCCCGGCGACGGCAGGCGCCGGGAGAAGTACCGCAAGGCCGTCGCGACACTGTCGCGCGCGCTCGACGTGCCCGAGATCAAGATGTGCGGCAAGCGCTGGGCGGAGCTCGACGTCGCCGCCGTGCCGAGCCGCTGCCTCGCCAAGTCGCGCAAGGCCTTCCTCAACGAGGCGCTCAAGGGCGGCGCGCTCTCGAAGGCCCGGGAAGCGACGGGCGACCGGTTCCCGGACGACGCGGACCGCGTCGCGTGCCGCGAGCACGTGCGCGAGGCGGCGCTCGCGACGGCGGGGAAAAAGCTCAAGGGCGCCCAGCTCTTCCCCCACGAGATCGTCAACAGGGTGTGCCGCGGCCCGTCGTCGACGCTCGAGGACGACGTCGCGAACGCGCAGTGGCGGGCGATCGAGGCGGACCTGCGCGCGCGCCTCGAAGCGGGCGACGGCGGCCCGAACCTGGGCAAGGTCGTGGCGCTCGTCGACGTGTCGGGCTCCATGGGGGGCACGCCCATGGACGTCGCGGTCGCGCTGGGGTTGTTGGTCTCCACGTTCGCGGCGCCCGCGTTCAAGGATCGCTTCCTCACCTTCGAGTCGGAGCCCCGCTGGCACGCCCTCGACGCTACCGCGTCGCCCGTGGAGAAGATGCGCGCGGCGCGGGCCGCGCCCTGGGGCGGGTCGACGTCCTTCGCGAAGGCGCTCGATCGCGTTTTGGACGCGTGCGTGGAGCACAAACTATCCCCCGAGGAGATCCCGGACCTCATCGTCTTCAGCGACATGCAGTTCGACCAGGCCGAGGGCTACGGCGGCCGCGACGCGCCCTGGACGACCTGGCACGAGCGCTTCGTGAAAAAGTTCGCGGACGCCGGCCTCCGCGTCCGCGGCGCGCGCTGGGACGCCCCGGCGATCACGTACTGGAACCTGCGGGGCGACACGCGCGGCGGCTTCCTCGCCGAGCACGACAAGCCCGGCGTGCGCCTGCTCAGCGGCTTCTCGCCCGCGCTGCTCAAGCTCGTGCTCGGAGGGGAGGAGGAGGAGGACGTCGTCGTCGTGAACGCGGACGGGACCGCGTCCGTCGTCAAGGCGAAGCCGACGCCCTACGCGACGCTCCGCAGGGCCCTCGACGACGGCCGCTACGACGCCGTCCGCACCGCGCTCGCGGGCCTCGAGTCCGGCGCGTTCGCCGCCTACGGCTTCGCGCCCTCCGTCGCGGCCATGACCCTCGACGACGACTTCGTCGACGTCGCCGCGGACCGGTGAGCTCGCGCGCGGACTAAAAAAACAAAAGGTCCATACTCGTGGCGACGCAAGGGCGGGCGGGCGTGAGGGATCGTGATCGGCGCCGCTACCGGGAAGGCGGCCGCGGCGGGGATGGCGACGTGTGGGAATTATCGTGATTGACGGGTGGTCAATCGACGGGTGTGCATTCGGGCGGGAGGAAAGCATATGAGACAAAAATAAAGGCCGGATGGATGGTGTGAAGCAAGCGCTCGGGCTGCCAGACGGGTGGCTGCGAGCGGTCTCGAAGAGGAAGGTGCGTCTAATCGAAGGAGCGGGGTCGAAGAGGAAGGTGCGTCTAATCGATGAGGAAGTGTGAGATGCGGGGCTTGGTCGTCGGATCTCGGCGGCGCGCGATTCGAGTCGCGCGCGCGCGTCCGAGACGCGACGGAAATCGCGCGCGGCGCTCACGTGAGCGCCGCGTCGAGGAGCGACGGCGCGCGCGGCGCCGAGCTCGGGCGCGCGAGGCCGCGGATGACGTCGTAGGCGCGCGCCGTCGTCGCCGCGCGCGGCGGCGCGGCCGTCGGCGCGGTCCGGGCCCGGGGCGCGGCGCGGTCGCGGCACTCGGCCGCGGAGGGCCGCGCGGCCGGCGCCTCGCTGAGGCAGGCGGCGACGAGGTCCCCGAAGGGCGAGAAGGCCGGCAGCGCGCCCTCGCAGGCGCCGCCGCCGGGCTCGCCCCGGCTCGCGCGGCCGACGGCGTCGAGCTTGGGCGCGAGCGCGGCGCGGAACGGGCCGGCCTCGTCGCCGGCGCCGCGCGGCGCGGCGAAGAAGGTCTTGTAGGCGACGAACCAGAAGTCGGCGAAGACGCGCGAGCCCAGCGCGAGCTCGAGGCCCAGGCAGCCCAGCGACCAGACGTCGGTGCGCGTCGCGTCGTAGCCCCGGACGTCGAGCATGTCCGGCGCGAAGAAGCCCATGGACCCGCAGCAGCGGAAGAGGGGCCCGTGGTTCGGCTGGGCGTACTGGCCCAGCGACGCGAAGACGCTGTCGGGCGACGCGCCCGGCGGCCCGCCGTCGAAGGCGAAGCGCGGCGCGTCCGGGAGCTTCGCCGCGAGGCCCAGGTCGCAGAGCTTGACCTCGACGGCGTCGCCGCGGAAGTCCACGAGCACGTTCTCGGGCTTGACGTCGCGGTGCGCGTAGCCCGCCTCGTGCATGCGCGCGAGCGCGGCGGCGACGCCCGCGAAGACCTGGAGCCGCGGCCGCGGCCCCAGGAGCCCGCGGGCGCGCACGTGGCCGTAGAGCTCCTCGCCGAAGAGGTCCGTGACGACGTAGAGGAATTTCGGCGTCGACATCGTGGCGACGAGCGCCGGCGTCGCGCCGCCGGCGGACAGCGCGCGGAGCGCCTCGCATTCCGCGCCGATGGTCCGCACCTCGCGGAGCGTCTTCGCGGAGGCCTTGGCGATGCGCTTCACGGCGCAGGGCGACCCGTCGGCCGTGCGCCCCTCGAAGACGACGCTCGACGCGCCCCGCCCGAGCTCGCGGCCGAGCGCCGTGCCTCCGACGACGCCGTCGGCCTCGGCCACGGGGGCGTCGGCGGCGAGGTCCGCGCCCAGGCCCTCGGCGTCGACGACGGCGCGGCTCCAGAGCAGCTCCGTGTGGCACTCCTTGAGGGCGTCGTACCTGCGCGCAGGACGAGGGGTGTGTGGAGTAGGGGCACCGGGGGCGCGCGGGCGACGCACTTGCGGCGGAGGATGCGGAAGTTCTCGCAGGCGGCGGCGTAGGCCACCTGCTGCCGCGCGATGACGTCCTCCCAGCCCGCCTCTTGCAGCACGCCGACGTCTTCCGGCTGGCGATTGACGAGATCCGCCATTGTGGGTGATTCGGGCAGCTCTGCCTACGAGACCCCAAAGGCAATTGCACGAGGACCGTCGATGACAAGGGGCAAACACAAACCATGAACAGGGTGAGTTATATAAACTCAAGCGTGGTGAAAGTGTCGCAACGGACGGGGATTTGGGGTCACGTGAGCTGCACGTGAGTGAACCTTGCAGCCGCTGGAGCCGGCATCGGCAGCCTCGCGGCAAGCAAAGCGGGTTCCGCGGGTCGAATCGCGGTCTCCAGCCAGCGCACCACTTTGCAAGCCCATTTCCGCGCGCGCGCACCACCTCCGGCCATGTTCTCCCAGCTGCAGCACGCGAGCGCGAGCGAGGTCGAGGCCCTCGAGGCGTCGCTGCCGGACAAGATCATGGAGATCGACGGCCGCCTCAGCCAGCTCGCGGGCCTGAGCCTCGCCGACGCCGAGGCCAAGTTCGCCGCCGCCGTCGACGCGGCCAAGCCCGCGACGAACGCGACCGTCGCCGCGACGCTCACCTACGTCCGCGCGCCGCCGGCGTCCGCGCGGCCGCGCGCGCGACGTCGGGACGGGCGCGACCGCCGTCTTTCCCGACGCTTCGCGCGCGCGCGCTCCCGCGGTCGTCGCCCGACGAGACGCGCGTCCCTCGTAGGCACGGAGGCGGCGGCGTGCATCCTGAACCTGCGCAAGATCGAGCGCTTCATCGTGCTGCACGTGCCCAAGGTCGAGGACGGCAACAACTTCGGCGTCGCCATCCAGATGGAGGTGAACAAGATGGTCGGCGAGCAGGGCAAGACCCTCAAGGGCCTCGTGGACGCCCTGCCCAACTACTACAAGGAGCGCGCCGGCGCCTGGAAGGAGGTCGCCGCGAAGACGTCGACCGAGACGACGAAGTCGAAGAGCGAGGGCGAGGACTCCGAGACCAAGGACGGCGCGGCCTCCAAGACGGCCAAGAGCGGCGCGTCGAGCTCGTCGAAGACGACGACGTCGTCGAGCCCGCCCAACGCCGACGCGGTCGCGCACCTCGTCGCGCTCGACGTCCACTGGTACTTCGCGCTCTGCTTCACGCTCGAGTCCGTCCGCGACGCCTACATCGCCTGCGGCGACTGCCTCGAGAAGAACAAGCAGAAGCTCGCCATGCCCCGCGGCGAGGGCGGCAACGCCATGTCCATGTTCTAGATGCGCGCGCCCCGCGTAGGCCCCGCTAACGACCGCGCCCGCGGGTGAGAGCTCGGAGAGATGGCGCCGCGCCGCGCCGCTCCGACCGCGCGCGAGAGCGGACGACGCGCCGCTCCGGCTGGATATGATTTCTTTAACGACAGCGCCTATTGCGTCGCGCTCTTGAGGTAGTCGACGAGGTCGTTGCGCTCCTTCTCCTTCTTGATGCCCGCGAAGATCATCTTCGTGCCCTTGATGAACTTCTTCGGCGCCTTGAGCCACTCGTGCATGGTCGCGTCGTCCCAAACCATCTCGCCGGTCTTGTCCTTAAACGCGCCGCTGTAGGAGTAGTCGCCGACCTGCCCGGGCTGGTTGCCGAAGATGCCGTGCCTGGAGGGGGTCGGGGAGGTGACGGTCGCGCAGTGCGCGTCGAACGCTCTCTGGCCGCGCGGCGCCGCCGGCGGCGGGCCTCTCGAAGACCGCGGCGCCGGCCGGGCCGGTTGGCCCGACGGCGTCGGAGAGCGCCGCCGGCGTCGCGCCCGCGTCGCGCCGCTCGGCATTGCTTCGCGAGCCGCCGGCGTCGCGTCGCGCCGCTCGGCATTGCTTCGCGAGCCGCCGGCGTCGCATTGCATTGCGTCGGTCGCGCTGCTCGAGCAGGCATGTCTACTGACGCTGGCGCGGACAGGTTCGGGCCCTGCTTCGAATTGCCTCCGGCATTGAGCGTGTGGCACGCGGAGCACTTGGTTTTGAAGATCTTCGCACCCTTCTCGGACATCGTGCGGTTGCTGGAGTCTTGCGGTTTTGCGCTGGCTGCAGCGGCGAGAGACGAGGTGTAGAAGTAAAAACACGTCGGCTCGACGAGGGATCGAGGAGCGCGCGCTCGCCAAGTTAAAGTTGATGACGAGTTGCATCCGGCTTGCACACACCGTAGACCGGATTGCTTCACCGCACCTCGGGTTAGGACCCCCCCGCCTCGGGAAACGGGCAGGGGAGGAAGCGGACGTTCGCGGGCGCGGCGTCGTGGACGGACGCGACGAGCGCGCCGCGGTCGCCCGCGTCGCAGACCGCGAGGAAGCGGAAGTCGCCGCCGAGGTCGTGGCGCACGTCCATGCTCCGCGCGCCCGCGAGGTCGTGGAGCTTGAGCGCGTGCGCGCCGAGGGCCTCGACGACGAAGCGGCCGCCCGCGGCGACGTCGCCCGGCGCCGCGGCCGCGCCGCCCTCGGAGCCGCGCGTCGCGCCGACGCAGACGCGGCACGCGTCGCCCGTCGTCGCGAGCACGGCCTGGGCCAGCCCGCCGTCGCCGCAGGCCGCCAGGCACGCGAGCGCGTCCGCGCCGTGCCGCTCCGCGGCCGCGGCCGCCGCGTCGTGGAACGGCGACCGACCGCAGAAGACGGAGCGCGCGGGCGCGTCGACGACGAAGACGAGCGTCGCCGCGGCGTCGAAGACGACCGCCGCCGTCGTGGCGTCCGCGCGGTCCGCGAGCACGACGGACCAGCCGCTTCGCGGCGCGCGGCCCGCCGCGACGCTGCGCGCGCGCGCGAACGCGCCGGGCACGGGCAGCTGGAGCACGGCGTCGCGGGGCCCGTGGCGGCTCGCGACGACGGCGCCGCCGGCGTCTTCGGCCCAGAGCGCGTCCCAGGCGCCCCGCCGCGGGCCCGGCGCGACGGCGACGCGGTGCCGGGACTCCGCGCCGGCCGAGGGCCGCGCGTAGAGCGTCGGCGCGGACGACAGCTCGAGGTCGAAGACGGCCAGCAGGTGCTCGGCGCCCTCGCCGTCGCCGCGGCAGACCGCGGCGACGACGGGCCCGCCCCTGCGGCGCGCCGCGACGGCGACGGCGACGACCGCGCCTCCCGGCGACGCGCAGCGGTGGAGCTCCGCGCCCTCGAGCCGGTCGTCGCCCGACTCCCGCGACGCCGACAGCCGGCTCACGTCCAGGCGCGCGCCGCGGCCCACGGCGACGAGCGCCTTCGTGCCCGAGTACGCGCAGCCGGCCAGAGCCGTCACGGCCTCTGCGCCGCCGAGCGCGAGCGACCGCGCGGTGAGCGTGCCCGTCATCGCCGCGCGGAGCGCGTCCTTGGACGCGACGGACGACCGGCGCACCGCCGGCGCGGGCGGCGGGACCGCGTCGTCGCCGTCGCGCGACGACCGCTTCGCGTAGCGCGCCTCGCGCGTCCCGGCGGCGGCCGCGGCCCGCGACGTCCCGCAGACGCCGCACTTGCGGCCGCGCGCGTTGACGAAGGTGCAGGCGCCGCAGGTCCAGGACGGGTCGCCGGCCGCCGGCGCCTCCGGCGCCTTCGGCGCGCGCTTCTTCCGCTTCTTCGGCGGCTCCGGCGCCGGCGCCGGCTCGGGCGCCTCGGGCGCCTCGGCCGCCGCCTCGGTCGGCGCAGTCTCGGCCGCCGCCGGTGCCTCGGGCGCCTCGGGCTCGTCGGCGGCCGCCGGCTCCGGCTCCGGCTCCGGCTCCGGCTCCGGCGCCGCGGGCCCCTCGGCGCTCCGCACCGTCGTACACATCTGGCACCGCTTCCGCGCGCGCGGGTTCTCGAAGGTGCACATGGCGCAGGTCCAGCGCGTGTTCGTCGTCTTCGGCTTCGCCGCGGACCGGGGGCCCGCCGGGTTCTTGCGGCGCGGCGGCATGGGTACAATTTTGGTGGTCGGAGCTTGGTGCGCTGGTCGGGCCGGCCGTCGCTTGCGCGCGCGTTTTTGCGACGAGTTTGGTTGCCGTGCGAGCGCTCGATCGATGCGGCCGGGAACCGTGCGCTTGCCGCGCTGCGACGCGCTGAGTCGAGCTCAAACCACGGAGAGCTCGTCGCGACGGCGGCGCGCGAGAGCGGCGGCGCGCGCAGCCTCGAGCGACCGCGGCAGCGCGGTGCATCATTGCCCTGGATGCCGTCGCGCGCAACGCGCGGCCTCGGCGACTGGCGAGTTGCGCACTCTTAGCACAGCGCCGGGTCCCCCGCCCGCGGCCGCGCCGGCGTCGCCCAGCCGAAGCCCGGCTCGAGGCGCTTCGCCAGCGACACGTCGACGAACGCGTGCTCGTCGACGCCGAAGCTCCGGAGCACGCGCCGCGCGGCCGCGGCCGCCGCGCCGTCGCCGTCGCGCGTCCGCAGCGCGAGGCGCGCGAAGCCCGCGGTGACGCGCGGCGCGTCGCTCAGGCGCAGCAGCGCCGCGGCCTCGACGCACTCGACGCCGTCGATGGCCGCGAGCTTGCCCCGGAGCTCCGCGGCGTCAGCGGGCGCGCCGTCGAGCAGGTTCCACGCGGCGCGCCGCCCGACGGGCCACGCGGCGCGGCCGATGGACGCCGCGAGGACCAGCGACACGCAGGGGTCCAGGTAGAGGCGCCAGAGCGCGGCGCGCCGCGCCGAGCAGAGCCGCGGCGCGCCGTAGCGGAGGAAGAGCGCCTCGCCGAAGACGCAGAGGCACCTGGGCAGCACAAGAGTGATTCAACGTCGCTTCAATGTGAGTGTTCCGCGCGCGCGCGTTACGAAAAACACATCCACGCTTCGAGACCGTTCCGAGAGATGATCGCTCGTCCAAAAGTCAGCCGAAACGAGTGGAAAATGGCCGAGATCGGAGCCTTTGAAGTTGGGAATTTCGCTCTCTTGTGCTGCCCTGACAGGCACGAGGCCGCGTCGCCCGCGAGGTGCGCGACGAGCGCCGCGCGGCCGACGCCGACCTTGGGCGCTTCGACCAACCCCGCGCCGAGGCCGCCGTCGCCGTCGGAAACCTTGGCCTCCTCGAGCTCGACGCAGCACGCGCAGTCGTCCTCCGACGCCGGCGCGTAGCCGCGCCTCGCGCGGCCCCCGAGGTGCGCGTGCGCGCCGCGGACGCCGCACAGCGCCAGGCCCGCCGCGAGGCCGTTGACGGCGACGCCCAGGGCCGACGCGCAGGCCAGCGCGCGCAGGTCCGCGACGGGCTCGGGCCGCCAGAGCCGGCAGAGCGCCGACAGCCCTATGGACACGCAGAGAGCCTCGAGCGCGGCGACGTTGACGAGCGCGCCGACGGTCGTCGCCCGCGCGTAGCCGAAGGGCAGCGCCTCGTCCGCGGGCCGCTCGCGCACGGCCTCGGCGAGCCAGGCGACGTAGGCCGCGAGCGCGTCGCTCAGCGTGTGGGCGCCGTCGGAGACGAGGGCCAGGCTCCGCACGGACGTGCCGATGACGATCTGCGTCGCCGCGAGGCCCAAATTCAAAGCGACGATCCACCAGAGCACCATGGGAGCTACGACCTTCTGGTCGGGGGAGGCCGCCTACGTCCTTCTCGTCGGGGCTGCTGCCCGGCTGCACGCATGCTAGCTGTGAGAGAAGTTCAACTTCGTCGAGAGGTCAGCCTTGTCCCGCCAACCCAGCGACCGAGTCGAGGTGGAGGTTCGAATAAGCGACCCGCACGCGCAGGCCCGCAGCGCCCCGGACGACGCGCAGGCCTCGCCCGACGCATCCAACGCACGATGGCCGACCTCTTCGACAGCGAGTCCAGCGACGACGAGAAGCCCATCGGCGCCCTCGTGCGCAGCGACACCGTGGAGTCCGGGACGCGGCGCGAGGAGGAGGCGGAGATCCAGAAGCTCCAGCACAAATTCATCGGCGTCGGCTCCGTCGTCGAGGCGTCGGCGCTCGCCTTCGGCCGCGCGTTCGCGGCGGGCGCGCCGGCGGGCGCGGCGTACCGCGGCGTCGTCGTCGAGCTCGAGGAGGACGACGAGGACGACGAGGACGGCCGCGTCTGGCGCGTCACCTACGACGACGACGGCGGCACCTACTCGACGGCCGAGGCGCACCTGAGCCTCGTGTCCGCGGCGGCGCCGCCGGCGAAGCGGCGCCGCGCGGCGGCGGACGACGACGACGAGGACCACGTCGAGGACGAGGACGACGACGACGACGACGACGACGACGACGACGCCATGGAGGACAGCGAGAGCGACGGATACCGCGCGCCGCGCGCGCGCGCGGCCGCGCCGCGGCGGTCCGCGCCCGCGCGGCGCGCGGCGGCGGCGGCGACGTTCGTCGACGACGACGGCGGCGAGGTCCGCTACACGCAGTCCGGCCGCGTCATCAAGGCGCCGGAGCGGCCCGTCGTGACCTACGACGACTACGAGAAGCGGCCGTCGTCGCCGCGCGCGGGCCGCGGCGCGAAGAAGCGCGGCAAGCCCGCGGCGAAGAAAGCCGTCGCGGTCCGCGACGACCCGCGGCGCGTCGCCGCGCGCGGCGGCGCCGTCAACTACGCCGAGTTCGGGTCGTCCGACGACGACGACGAGAGCGACGGCTCCGACGCCCCGCGCAAGAGGAAGAAGCCCAAGCCCGCCGCGGAGCCCGACGAGCCGCCCGTCGGCATCGAGCGCCTGCTCTGCGGCTTCGGCCTGCCGAAGAAGGCCTGGCGCCCCTGGCTCGCGAAGATGAACACGGCGCAGATCACCGACGGCTCCCTCTTCATCCAGGACGACGACGAGCGCCTGCCCGAGGACGAGGAGGTCCGCGTGTCGCGCTACCTCGTCAAGTGGAAGCAGTACTCGTACCTCCACTGCTCCTGGGAGACGGAGCGCGACCTCGCGGAGCAGGTCGGCGCCCAGGAGACGAAGCGCGCCCTCCAGTCCCTGCGGCTCCGCGAGTCCAAGGGCGAGGTCCCCGACGTCGGCGACCCGGAGCCGAAGCGCTGCTTCGACCCCGAGATGGTCGACGTCGAGCGCGTGCTCAAGCTGCCCGAGTGCGACCTCGCGCCCCAGAAGCGCACGCCCCTCCCCCTCGGCGACCTGCCCGACGCGTCGGAGTCGTCGGAGGACGAGGACGAGGACGAGCTCGCCGCGGCCGCGGGCGCCGTCACGGCGTCGGAGCGCAAGGCCTTCGCCGCGGAGCGCTACGCCTTCGCGCTCAAGGAGGCCAACGAGAAGGGCGACGCCCAGGAGCGCGCCGTGCGCGACGCCATCGGGGCCTACGGCGCCGTCGCCCTCGCCGACGACGCCAAGGTCACGGTCAAGTGGCGCGGCCTCGGCTACGAGGAGGCGTCGGACGAGCTCTGGCGCGACGTCCTCGCCGCGTGCCCCGACGAGGAGGCGCTCCTCGCCGCCGCGGCGCTCTGCGGCAAGCGCTTCTGCGCCCGCAAGAAGCGGCCCAAGGCCAAGGAGCGCCAGCGGCGCGACGGCCGCAGCGGCCGCGACGCGAAGCGCGCCGTGCCGCTGCTGCCGTTCCGCGGCGGCGCGCTGACGCTGCGGCCCTACCAGATCGACGGCATCGGCTGGCTGGCCCACAACTTCCTCCTGCGGCGCAACTCGATCCTCGCCGACGAGATGGGTCTGGGGAAGACGGTCCAGTCCGTGTCGCTCGTGCGCATGATCAAGGAGCGCTACGCGGCGACGCTGCCCGTGCTCGTCGTCGCGCCGCTGTCGACGCTGGGCCACTGGGACCGCGAGTTCAAGCACTGGACGAACCTCGACGTCATGGTCTACCACGGCTCGGGCCCGTCGCGCGCCTGGGGCCGGTCGCTGGACCTCTTCGCGCGCAAGGACACGAAGTCGCCGGCCGTCGACGTCGTCGTGACGACGTACGAGCAGATCCTCCTCGACGACGCGGCGCCGCTGGCGCGCACGAAGTGGTCCGCGATCATCGTCGACGAGGCGCACCGCCTGAAGAACCCGCAGTCGCGGCTCTACCGCGCGCTGCACGGCGACGACGGCCGCTTCGCGTCCATCTTCAAGCTGCTGCTCACGGGCACGCCGCTCCAGAACGACATGCGCGAGCTCTGGGCGCTGCTCTCCTTCTGCGACACGGAGACCTTCGGCGAGGACCACGAGGAGTTCGTGGCCAAGTACGGCGGCTGCGCGCACGACGCGCCGGCGCAGCTCGCCGTCGTGCCCGAGGAGGAGGACGAGGACGACGACGAGGCGGACGCGAAGCCGGGCGTGCTCTCGTCGCTGCTGGAGGAGATGCGGCCCTTCGTGCTCCGGCGCGTCAAGGCCCACGTCGAGACGTCCGTGCCGCCCAAGGAGGAGATCGTCGTCTCCGTCGCGCTCGCCGCGATGCAGAAGCGGTACTACCGCGCGCTCTACGAGAAGAACGTGACCATGCTCGCCGGCGGCGGCCGCGCCGTCGACGGGCCGTCGATGATGAACCTGGCCATGGAGCTCCGCAAGTGCTGCAACCACCCCTTCCTGCTCAAGGGCGTCGAGTTCCGCGAGCTCGAGTCGTCGGGCCACGGCGTGGCCGAGGTCGACCGCCTCGTCGACGCGTGCGGCAAGCTCCAGTTCATGGACAAGATCCTGCCCAAGCTCTTCGACGAGCAGCGCAAGGTGCTCGTCTTCTCCCAGTTCACGATGATGCTCAACGTGCTCGAGGACTACCTCCGCGCGCGGGCCGTCGTCTACGGCCGCATCGACGGCGGCGTCACGGGCCGCGACCGCCAGCGGCAGATCGACGCCTTCAGCGACGCCGGCTCGAAGATGCGCCTCATGCTGCTGAGCACGCGCGCGGGCGGCGTGGGCATCAACCTCGTCGCCGCGGACACGGTCATCATCTACGACAGCGACTGGAACCCGCAGAACGACGTGCAGGCCATGGCGCGGTGCCACCGCATCGGCCAGACCAAGAAGGTCACGGTCTACCGCCTGCTCACGGCGAAGACCTACGAGGCCCACATGTACGACGTCGCGACGGCGAAGCTCGACCTCGACCGCGCGGTGCTCGACGGCATGGCGAGCCACTCCAAGGGCAACGCGCAGCTCCACGAGTCGCTGCTCAAGCGCGGCGCGACGGCCGTCGCCTTCCAGCAGGGCCCCGAGGAGGACGACGACGCCGACGCCGTCGCCTTCCGGAACCAGTCCATCGACGACATCCTCGCGACGCGGACCAAGGCCGTCGTCCTCGCGTCGAACGACTCGGGCGGCGCGCTCGAGTCGCTGTCGAGCGCGACGTTCGTCGCCGCGCGCGGCGCCGAGGGCCTCGGCGACGTCGACCTCGACGACCCCGACTTCTGGTCCAAGACCGTCGGCGCGGGCTACAAGAGCCCCGGCAAGAAGCCCGAGGACCGGTCCGCGCGCGCGGCGCGCGGCGGCTTCAAGCACTACGACGAGGCGGGCCGCACGGCCTACGACGCCGCCTACGTCGACGACGGGAACTCCGACGACGACGCCCACGCGTCGGCCTTCGACCGCGTCAAGAAGAAGAAGCGGTCCAAGAAGGAGGCGCAGGTCGACGAAGACTTCGAGGACGCGCCCAAAAAGGAGAAGCCCAAGCACCCCCACGACTGGTCCAAGACGCAGATCCGCGAGCTCCGGCTCCAGCTCCAGAAGCGGCCCATCGGCCTCGCGGGCGCCGACTTTGTGCGCGGCGGCTTGTCGCTCGCGCGCCGCGAGGACCCCGCCGACGCGCTGAGCGCCGCGCGCGACGCGATCGTGTCCTCCGCGAAGGCGTCGCTGCTCCAGGGCGCCTACAACGCCGACAGCGAGATCCAGCACGGCATCGACCGCGCCCAGGTCGAGAAGCTCTGGCGCCGCAACAAGGCCGTCAAGCACTGCCTCAAGCACCGCGCGTTGGAGCAGGGCGCGCCCGAGGCGACCGCGGACGCGCTCGCGGCCGCGTTGATCGCCTTCGAGCCCACGCCGGGCCCGCTGGGCGTCGAGCTCTGCGCGGCGCCGGGCCGCGACGCCGACGGCAAGCACGGGAAATTGCTCGACGTCGTCAACGAGTTGGAGACGTGCCGCGTCCTGGCCGTGCGCGTCGACGCCTACGCGGTGCCGCCCGACGCCGAGGGCCGCGCGCTCACGGCCAACGAGACGCTCCAGGCGCTGGGCTTGGGCCGCGTCTCGGTCTGCAACCGGGCCGCGCCCTGGTGGGACGCGCGCCACGACCTGTGTTTGGTCCGCGGCGTGACGAAGCACGGCACGCTGGCGTCGGAGCAGCGCCGCGTCGACGTGCTGGAGGACGCGAGCCTGGGCTGGCCCGACGACATGCCCCGGCCGCCGCCGCGGCTGGACGTCGAGCCCGCCGACGCCGACGAGGTGGCGTCGAACGCGCCGAGCCAGGCGCCGTCGTCCGTCGACGACGCGGCGCCGCCGCCCGCGGACGCGCCGGACGCCAAGGCGCCCGAGGCGAAGAAGCCCAACCCGTCGCGCAAGGCGCCGAAGCGCCTCGAGCACCTGCCGAGCCGCGCGAAGCTCAACTCGCGCCTGAAGGCGCTCGTCGCCGCGGAGTGCGTGGGCGCGGACCCGGCCAAGCCCGCGCCGAAGCGGCGCAAGGTCGCGGCGAAGGCGCGCGCCGCGGGGCCCTTCACGGCGTCGCACCACTTCGCGCCCAAGCCGGCGCCGGCGCCGGCCGACGACCCGGCCAAGGAGAACGGCCGCGACGCGCCGGACCGCCGGGACCGCGCGGAATCCGCGCCCGCGCCCGCGGCGCCGCACCGCCCGGCCATCCCGAAGAAGAAGAAGCAGACGAGCATGGCCGCCTTCTTCGCCAAGAAGCCCACGCCCGCGGCGCCCGGCGCCGCCGGGCCGCCGGCCGCGCCCGAGTGGCGGCCGGCGGCGCGGCCGCCCGTGCCCGCGCCGCTCCCCGTCTCCCCGGCCGCGGCCGCGGCCGCCCGCTCGCCGGTCGCCATCGACTTGCGCGGTTCCCCGAGCCCCGCGCCGCCGGCGCCGCCGGTCACCGTCGACGTGCGCTCCCCGGCCGCGCCGCCGCCGGTCGTCCGCGCGGGCGCCCCGGCGGCCGCGCCGCCGCCGCCGCTCTCGGCCGACGACGCGGCGCGGAACGTGTAGTAAGATTGTGGGACGAAGCGTGGCAGGACATAGGAAGGCTACACCTGGACCCCGGGCCCGGGCGGGGGGTCTTCCACCCGCATGCGGACCCCCGGCAGCTAGGGAGGGTTCGGTCGTGCTTCGCCGTCTCGAGTTGGCCGGGGACGGGGTCCGCCGGCTGGCGGGGTTTTCCATTTTGTTTTTCGTGGTCAATCCTCGCCACCCACAAGCTTTCTCTTGCGGTTCGTCGCGGCGTGCTAGTCTTTTGACGATGGCGTTCCTGCGCCTGGCCCTGCTCGTCGCGCTGTGCGCATCGAAAAAGCAGCACCCCGGGAGGAACAAGAAGCACACGCATGAGAGTCGAACGGCGCCGCCATTCCCCCAGTTTACGCGCGACGGCGCCGTGGCGACGCGCGCGGAGAAGTCGCCGCGCTACGACGCGGACAAGTGCTTCAAACGCGCGGGCACGATGCGCCACATCACATCTCCCAATCGCGGCAATTGGATCCACCCGCCGCGGCGCCCGAGCGCGACGTACGCGTGGACGCCCGCGGCGAGCGTCTCCGCGGGCGAATCGTGCCTCCCAAGGAAAGGATCCGGCCGCAAGATCGACGTGCCGAGCGCCGCCGCGATGCGCAGAGCCCTGAGGAACCACACGATCGTCGTCGCGGGCGACTCGATCGCGCTCCAGAGCTTTCTCTCGCTCTCGGCCTTGCTCGTCTGCGGCGACGGCGACGCCGTGCGCGTCGGCGACCACTCGGCGATGGTCCTCCCCGAGCACGGCGTGACGCTCCGCTTCGTCGATGCCAGGTTCGGCGTCGCGGTCGCGCAGACCACCGAGTCGGGCAAGGACGCGTGGTTCATCGACTCCAAGGGGAAGAAGCAGGCCATCCGGAGCTCGGGACGGGTCGAACACGTGCGCCCCTGGGGCAGCCGCGGGGAAAGACCGCGCGCGGCCGAGGGCGTCGTCGCCGCGCTCCGCGAATTCGAGGACCGGGACCAGGTGACCTACGTCTTCAACTACGGCCACTGGCTCTCGCACCGCCGAAGCGACGTCCGCTTCTACGCCCAGGATGGCACACTGGTGTCCGACGGCGCCGGCGTCTACGCGCAGACGCACGCCGTCCTCGCCAAGGAGTTGGTGAAGGGAATGCGCGCGAACCACCGCGCGGTGTTCCTGGGCTTTTCCCCCTTGCCGAGCGACGGCCCCTCGCGCATCTGCAAGGGAGACGAGCGCATGAGCCGCGCCGCTCGCCAGGGCCTCGCGGCCTATCCGCCGGAAAAGGGCATCTTCTTCCTCGACATGGCGTGCCCGCTCGCGCGCGCGCCCAAGTCGGCCTACGCGCACAAGTCCGACCATTGGTTCCTGCCGGGCGCGCCGGACTTGTCGAACGCGATCCTGACGAGGTTCATCGAATGCGAGTCGTCCTCGGACCCGGGGCGCCGCCGCCGGCCCCCCGGCGCGTAAAAATGCGACTTAGCTCCACTTGGCGCCGCAGAGGACGCACGAGTCCGAGCGCTGCATCCACGCGCGGATGCACTCGTCGTGGACCGCGCGGCCGCAGCCCCAGCGGCAGTGGGCGACGGCCATGGCCTCGTCCTCCTCGCCGAAGACCTCGTGGCAGACGGGGCACAGGTCCCCCGGCGCCGGGTCGAGCTTGGGCACGGCGCGCCGCGTCGCCCAGTGGCGCAGGCTCGCCGCCGTGCGCCGCAGCGGCGCGAGCGCGGCGACGATCTGCAGCCGCGCCGCGAAGCGCGCGTGGCCGTCGCGCGCGGGCTCCAGTAAAAACGCGAGGAACGCCAGGTTCGCCGCGTGGCCGAGGCCCGCGCGCGCGGCCCCGACGGCGCCCGCCGGGACCGCCGCGCAGAGCGCACCGGCGAGCGCGTCCAGGAACCCGTGGAGCGCGACGAGGTAGGAGACGGTGAACACGGCGAGCGCGGGCGCGCCCAGGCAGACGACGGCGAAGAGGCCCACGCACGTGAGCGACGCGCGGAGCACCTCGGCGCACTCCGTCGCCGCGTCCCTCGCGACGACGCCGAGCCGGTCCAGCGCCTCGCGGCGCCGCCGCCGCGCGCGCTCGGGCGTCTCCGCGGACCCCCGGTCGTCGGCCGCGTCGGCCGCGTCCTCGCCGGCCGCCGCGTCGGCCGCGTCGGCCGCGTCCTCGCCGGCCGCCGCGTCGGCCGCGTCCTCGCCGCCGCCGGCCGCCGCGTCGGCCGCGTCCTCGCCGGCCTCGGCCTCGGCGCCGGCCGCGTCCCCGTCCGCCTCGTCGCCGTCGCCCGCCTCGTCGCTCCGCGCCAGGACCGCCAGGTTCTTGACGAGGATGCCCACGAGCCAGGTGGGCACGACGCAGCACGCCAGCAGCCAGATGCCCATGTAGAGCCAGATGGGCAGCATCGACGCGTAGAAGACGGGCACGAAGACGAAGACGAGCCAGGGTACGCCCACGCGCCACCAGGACAGCGCCGCGGCGAGGCCCAGGAGCCCGTGGCGCGCCGCGGGT